CTGCATGTCTTAGGCCAGTGTTCACCAAGTCTCCACTGCAGCAGGCTGCATGTCTTAGGACAGTGTTCACTGCAGCAGACTGCATGTCTTAGGACAATGTTCACTGCAGCAAACTGCATGTCTTAGGATAGTGTTCATTGCAGCAGGCTGCATGTCTTAGGACAGTGTTCATTGCAGCAGACTACATGTCTTAGGATAGTGTTCATTGCAGCAGACTGCATGTCTTAGGACAGTGTTTGCTGCAGCAGACTGCATGTCTTAGGACAGTGCTCGCTGCAGCAGACTGCATGTCTTAGGACAGTGCTTGCTGCAGCAGACAGCATGTCTTAGGACAGTGTCCACCAAGTCTCCATTGCAGCAGACTACATGTCTCAGGTGTTTGGAGTTAAACTCTGATTAGTTTAATTCATGACAATCATCCTGGACAGGTAGATAAGAACTGAGATAGAAAATGAGGAAGGTAACCAGCAGATCTCTAAGTGATCTACAGTTGATAACTGAGTCTCAAGAGATGCCTTTCCTCTGCCCTGCCCAGTCTACCTCACATCCTGTGACTCTCAGATTAAAGCTGGGAAATTTTAAGACTCCAAAGGGAAAACATATTCCAATGAGTGATCTACAAAGAGGTGACAGACCAAAAATCTCAGGACTTTGATGCCCTGGGGTCACGTGGCATGCCTTGGTCTTTAGAAATGGGCCAGTACTAAAACAGAATTAGTCAACACAAAGTAGGACTAGGGTGAGATCAGATTCCAGAACGAGAGGAAGGAAACATGTCTGGGCAGAGGTCAGAATCCAAGGCACTCACTCATGAGGTTCGAGCAGGACTCTGTTCCAGCCTGAGCAGGAGGCAGGCCAGGGAACTCGGGCAAGGGTGAGGTGGGTCTGAGGGCTGGGTGCTGACGAGACAGCTCCTCAGCCCCGGCGGCTGCTCCAGAGGTCTTGGTACTCTGTCAAGAGCCAGCATCTGAACAAAGCCTGCTGCGTTTATGAATTGTCTAACCACAACGTTCTGATCTCCAAGCCCCATTCAGCAAGAGAGCTAAACCCAGCACAGAATGTAACTTTCTCGGGGGGTCTGGGCAGACTTCCCTTTCATCTCTGACTTAGTAAATCTCCTTTCTCCCAAAGAAAATTAAATAAGAATTCCACGAAATTCCGAGCTTTAACCCATTTTTTTCTTGCTTGCTTTTTCTTTCCTCTCCCCTCCCTGCCACTAGGCCCTCAAATACCCATGAATATTTACGTTTCAGACTCTCTAAAGAAAAACAAATTTGTGGCTTGTGTGATTCCTCCTATCCTGATATATAGATACCAGAGTGGGGATGGGCAGGGGCGGGGGGGGGGGGGGGGGGGGAGAGCACGCTTCAGAGAAGGCAGAAGGTTGACGAAGGATCCGAAGCCGGGCAAGACTCAAAGGGGCAGCTTCTGAGCTGTGCCATGTTCATTCTTTCCCCTGGTGAGAAGAACCAATGCTTGGCAATGAGAATGTGGCCTGTGGTCATGCTGGGCTGAAACCTGGGCTCTGGAGGTGCAGAGCAGAAGGACCCATCTCTGTGGACGTTGGAGAGCGCTCCAAAGCAACCTGCTGATTCCTCAACCCTTGTAGACACCTAGTCACTGACTGTTCTTCCCTCATCCGGTGGCGTCACGGCTGTGACATCTGCTGTCTTTCTCCTGAGGTCTTCTTATGCAGGTCGCAGACTATTGCATGGCTATTAAGAATCCTGGACTTAAGAATTTAGGACTATGCCCTACATAAGGACAGGGGCTGCATCCGTCTCCCTCACAGAAGACCCCTTACTGCCCAGCAAAGAGCCTGGGCAGGATGGATATGAAATACCTGTTTAGATTACTCTCCGAGTAGGGTGGAGCTCCTCTGTCATCGGCTGACAGCAACATCAAAGCTCAGAAAGGGAAAGGACCAACTCAGGGCATCCAGAGCGTCCAGGGCTCGTGATGAAAGGGGTCTGAACGCAAGTGTGCGAATTCTAGAGACCATTGCTTTCCGCCCTGCTGGGAAGCTGAACAGAGTTCTCACGGCTCCTTTTATTCCACCCAGTTGGCAGGATCAGAGAAACAAACTTGTTAG